CCCTAAGCTCTGAACCCTAAACCCAAAACCCTAAGCCCTAAACCCTAAACCCTAAGCCCTAAGCCCTACACCCTAAGCCCTAAACCCTAAACCCTAAACCCCAAGCCCTAAACCCTAAGCCCTAAGCCTTAAACAGTTCTTCTCTCCAAGCATCTCAGGTCGGAACACTGAAGGAGCGCTTGTGCGAAGTCTGCGGTGTGCCCCGCTTCAGGCACACAGACCCCTTAGAGTCTTAGTGTACCGGAACCCTTATACAATCCTGTAAGCCTTTAATATAGGGGCCTCAATAATTGGAGTAGGGTTTTCGTGCATATTGTACTACAACTATAATAAGGAACCCCCAAAATAGAAAGGGTAATTATTTAGGCCCTACAGAAGCCTGGCCTAGACAGTTGACCTCTTAAGGGTTTCAGGCAGCGGCTTCTTTGCGGTGATGCGCCGCTTGAGGACAACGCAACTCTGAAGCGAGGCAGACTACGTTTCTATTCCAGTGGGCTCGCAGTTTGGGGTTTGAAGGTTTAGGGTTTAGGCTTTAGGGCTTTAGGGCTTTAGGGTTTAGGGCTTTAGGGCTTTAGGGTTTAGGGCTTTAGGGTTTTAAGGTTTAGGGGTTTAGTGAGGCGCAGGGCTTTGTCGGTAAGGAGTGGGTAAAGGGAACCCATTATTTTAGCACTTTGTTGTGAGGCAAGGCTGGATGCTGCCATGGACATTCAACTTGTGTTGCTTCCCTTCTGCGACCTGCCTTCACCGCAACTGCTCGACTTGAAGATCGCCATACGGAATGGCAACTTGATTTGGGGTTAAACCTTTAAGCCCTAAACCCTAAAGGGGTTTTAGGGGTGGTACCCTTTTGCCCTTTATCTTTCTGGGGTTCCCCTATTTTAAACCAAGTAGAAGGAACAAGGGGTACCCTGATTCTTCAGGGGCTACTGGGGAACCTAGGCAATGTGGTTGAGGTGGAGAAGATGCTGCAATACCCGCTTGACCCGAATGTGGCCATCCATGAAGCTTGTTGGGTAGGTCAGGCTGCTGTGCTGCGCCTGCTGCTGGAGGCACCTTAAGGACGAAAAGAGCCCTAAAAGGGTTTAGGGTTCATATACCATATAGGGATTCATAGTATAACGGTATAGGGCCCCTACTTTTAAGGTTCTTTTCGTACTTAAGGCACGTGCTGACGTGAATTTGGCGAACAGTGGCGGGCAAACTCCCCTCCACCTGGCGAGCATGAAGGGTCACCGGGACCTTGTGCAGTTGCTGTTGGGCGTCGCAGCTGATGTGAGCCTGACCGACATGAGGGGCAAGACTGCAGCGCTGTTGGCGGGCGATGCAAACTTCAGCGACATCGTCACTCGGTATCAGTCTAGAGTCTAGTGTATCTGTGTATCTTCACATTTTTACTGTCTTTCATGCTCTGGTGTCTGCGTGCGTGGAAAGGAAGACCGAGGTAAGGCTGCTTGAACAAGGTGCTGCGCCGAGGCCACGAAAGTATGCTGCAGATCCGCGTGGACGCAAGCCGGGTTGATCAAGACGGCATGACAGCCCGAGATCTCTCCAACCCCAAACTGACTTGAACGACTTCTCCGTGGTTCCTTCATTCTGCATCGCTTCTTTGTCTCTGGAAAAAAAGCAGATTTCAGTCATGTCCGGGGGGCGGCTGATCATCGGATTATGCATGGGCCGGGACGTCGAGTTTGTGGAAGCCGCCAAACCCCAAACCGATTCTGAATCGTTTCTTGTGTCTCACAGAATCGCCGACAAAATAGGGGAACTTAGCGGTTGCCGACATCGATCCTTCCAGCGGAATGTCATACCAAGGCCATCCTAACGTTGCTCTGAGTCACCTCAACGAAGTCCTTCTGCTTCAGTGGAAAGAATCATGAGCTCTAGTCGCTGTACCCTAAACTCCTAAATTCTGAATTCGCAGCTTTCTTCGGACAAATCTTTCGGCATGTGCTCTGCTGGCTTCCGGCAGCAGCAAACAGTCAAAGCATCTTGCTTGACACCTGGGGCGTGCTAAAGGGGTGTCAGAGTCATCAAATGGACACAGGCGTATTGCTGATGGTATCACGTACTGCTACTGACTGCAGCAGTCGCAGATCGTGCCACGCTTCTTTTCCGCTTCGCAGCCGTTTGTCTCCCGAGCCTCAAGGGTCGTCCCTGTCCAACCTTTTCGGGCACCTCTCATTCTTCATGGCTCCTCTTCGCTGGTTGCCATTGGCGCTCTGCGGATCCATCGCAGCTTTGGGCGCCTCCGACAATTCCAGCTGCCTGAGAGCTCAGACAGAATCAGGAGCAGAAGGGGAATGCGAGCCCCAATCTCTTCTGCAGGCCAGGCTCCGTCGTCAAAATTCGAAAAATCCTAGCCCAAAGGGCTTACGGCCTACGTACCCAATAGGTACGCTGGTAGTCCTTCCACCTTTTGGGCAGAAACCCAGCCTCTTGAACAGGCTCGGACGCACGACGCGCATGGCAGGCAACTTCTTTCCGCAGGTCGGTGCCCTAAACCCTAAACCCTA